GGAGATAAGAGATCTCCCTCACCGGCCCGCTAGCACTGTAATGATGCAGCCGGCAGGAGAGAGAGGAGAGAGAACCCAGGGGAGCTCTAACTTGCAGCTGCGCCGGGTTCTCCTCACAGGAGCTCGGAGCGATGCCGCGGTTAACACCTCGTGAGGCTGCTAGAGTTCACTGTCACCACTATGACCGCCAGGGCTTCCCAGGGCCGGACTGGGAATGAAAACCCCCTCCCCAATTAAATACACTGACCTCTCCCCAATTTAATACACTACCCTCCCCCTCACTCCCCCAAATTTATTACATTGCTCTCATCCCTCCCCCTAATTTAATACACGGCTTCCTCCCCCCAATTTAATACATTGCTCTTCCTCCAATTCAATACATTCTCTCCCCTCTACCCACAATTTAATACACCCACACCCCTAATTAAATACACTACAGGAAGGTCCCCCAAGCCCCTCCTCCCCTACCTCAAGATGAGCCCTCCTCCAGTTGCAGTCCGGCCTGCACAATTCTCTGCTCAAGCAGGCACTGTGAGCAGGAGGTAAGGGGAGTGGTTGGGCTGGTCTGTCAGCCACTCTGCGCACTGAAGTGCTGCCGCCAGATATCACTGCATACACTGTATCCGGCGGCCAGCAAGGACCAATACTTTAAGATCCTGCGGCTGCTGGCAGGTCGCAGGAGCACACAATCGGCCGCGCAGATAGGAAAGTAAATTTTTCTGATCTTGCAGCTGATTGCAGCTGCAGCACAAAGTGGACCCAGAGCAGATGGCCTACCAGGAAGTTTCCTAGTATCCCGGTAGGCCAGTCCGGCCCTGGGGCTTTCCTACATGACCACCAAGAATTGCAGGAAATATCCCCCCTCCCAGGGAAATGTAAGCAGGGAGCGGGGATATCAAAATTATTCTTTAAACGGCACTGTCATGGCCGAATCCCGTTTTTTTTTAACCCCCATCCCGACTCCACTACATCTAACTGACCCCTTAGTCACCCCTAAATGCTCCTAAGCCCCCCATATTACCTATTTTTAAACTTTATTTTCTGCCCCGACCTATATTCTGGGCCCTGCCATCTTTGTGTGGGTAGATGAAGTCCCTGTGGGACACGTCATCTGCCCACACCGTTGGGCATGCGAACGGGAATTTCATCTATTCATTCATTCATTCATCAGAAAGCCATAATAGCATAAGGGAGATCTAAATCTCCCGAATGCCCCTACTCGCTATATTGTGAGCAGGGGCATGTCTACTAAACAGTGAGCAGCCTGTGGCTGTGGGTGGGGGCCATACAGGAAAATAAGGGGGGTGACCTACTGTCCTCCCTCCTCCAGCCATCACCCCTGAGCAGTGGGTGGGGGCCATAAAGGATAATGGGGGGGGACCTGCTGTCCTCCCCCCGACCCCTGCGCGGTGGGTGGGGGCCCTACTGTCCCCCCCCGAGCGGTGGGTGGGGGCCATATAGATAATAAGGGGAGGGTACCAACTGTCCTATCCCCCCTGGCCCCCACCCCTGCACGATGGGTGGGGCCATAAAGGACAATGAAGGGGGGGCCTATTGTCCTCCCTCCGGCCCCCACCCCTGCACGATGGGTGGGGGCCATAAAGGACAATGAAGGGGGGACCTACTGTCCTCCCCCCCGTCCCCCACCCCTTTCCATACAGGAAAATGAGGGTGGGGAGGACCTACTGAGTGGGGGCCATACAGGAAAATAAGGGGGGCCCTACTGTCCTCCCCCACCGGCCACCACCCCTGAGCAGTGGGTGGGGCCCATAAAGGATAATGGGGGGGGACCTACTGTCTTCCCCCCGGCCCTCAACCCTGGGCGGCGGCTCTTAATAACAAATCCCCCCTTCAAAAGTGACTAAAGGTCTCCAAGCCCCTAGAACTCCCCCACCCAAATAAAAACTATCTCCTACCTACCCCCTCAGCCTAAAAATAGTGAGGGGGGAATAAAATAACTAACCTGTAAAGAAAAAGAAAACTTACCATTTGATGTCTTCTTTCTTCTAAAATCTTAAAAAAAAGGCCAAATAAAAAAACCATAATACCAGTCGAACTTAAAATAAAATAAAAAACCTGAGTGCAAAAAAAAACCCAAAAAACAGATGAAAAATAAAAAACCTGATGCTCTGCAGGGCGAGGAAAGGCTTATAAAGCCTTGCCCCGCCCTGCAATTAGGCTAAGAACACTCTGATTGGTTGGTTTAAGCGAGAGTGCTCTTTTTCCTGTATGGCCCCCACCCACCGCTCAGGGGTGGGGGCGGGGAGGACACTAGGTCCCCCCCATTATCCTTTATGGCCCCCACCCACCGCTCAGGCGTGGAGGCCGGGTTGGGGGAGGACAGTAGGCCCCCCCCTCATTTTACTGTATGGCCCCCACCCACCGCTGTAGTGGTTATTGCGCCTGGATTGTTTCTTTAAATAATCTACCAGTGCCCCTCCCAAGATTAGGTTCTGGATCTGCGCTTGAACGGCAAGCATTACTGCCGAACAGGAGCCCAGTATATGCCACTGCGCTGTACATATATACAACCTAGAAATTTTTTTGACTTGGGTCGCCTTGGAAAAATATTAAAATATTAAAGGCGCCTTAAACCTAAAAAGTTTGTGAACCACTGCTTTATAGGAGACTTCATTTTACTGCATTATGTTGAAATGCATCCAGCAAATTTCAAATGCTTTACAGTGCATTTAAAAAATATGCAAAAGTTATGAAAGTAATTAAAGTTACAAAATATTAAAAGATTTAAAAAAAGAAATGAGTCACATTTAAACTTGCTGAATTTGAAATTCCTAGGCTTCACATCATCAGGCGTATGCCGTGCCCTCACAAGGAAGTACAGGGAGGGCCAAAATTTAGAGTAAGTTTTGACTGTTAAATAACATATTTGTTAGTCGTTCCATTTCTTTTTATTGCAGGTACATATAACTTGGGAGATTTATCATGGGTAATTTCACAATGGAGCGGCCAGTAAAAATAGTGGATTATTATTGGTGAGATATCAGGATATTATTACTGTCCTCTATCACTCACTTGTCCACTCCACTCCTTACCGTCTTACTAGCAGACTGAAGCTCCTGGTTTGCAGTGTGGGACAGAAAAAAAGGTAGATATATAGAGAGTGTAAAAGAAATAGGACATGTCACAGTGTTAGAGAGACCTAAACAGCATAGCTTTTTTTGATTTTCAATAGCCTTAAACCATGGACATGTGCCTGGAGCTTCAGCTCCATCAGCCACTGTGTTAATCCGGCCATTGTTCGGCCTGGCCAATGTCAATTCTGTGGATATCACAGATCACTCAGTTGACGCTTTCAGGTAATGAATGGCCAGCGGAATTGGCATTTGGCTTCTGATACAGGTCACCCGGCAACAGAAGCGGCTCGGTGCCTGGTGGAACCAAGGTAAAAAAAAAACAGTAAAAAAAAAAAAAAACTGTTGTGGTTATGTAGTGGCTACAATGCTTCGAGTGACAGAAATGTGCAGGTCGGGCACTAGCTCTATCTGCAGAGATTACAAATGTGATAGTCACAGTGGATGTAGAAAATAAAAGACAAAAAACAAACCCAAACCAGTAGGAGACTGGTTAAAAAAATGTGCCACCTATTCTGCTGTAAGACGCAAAGCCCCATTGCTTCCATCAGTGACGGAGATAGACAGGAAAAATGAGAGGAGTGTATTGGAGCAATAATGTTAATCCAAGTACCCACTGCGAAAGAGCACTGCAACCGAAACATTTGAAGCTCAATTATTGGCTTTTTAACAATGTGTCTCTTTAACAATAATAAAAACATGATGGTTTATTCACTAATCTGTGCTTTGCAGTAAACTGAAAAATTCTGGGTAAACTGACAAGGTGTAAGTTTAAAAAAAAATCAGAATTGATGGGAAATCAAAAAGAAAATTGCAAACTTTTCAGCTATAGAATGCCTAGTTAATAAATTATTACTGCTGATGCGGAGTGCTTAGTTTGGCCAAGGAAAATCGAATGCAATTATTTTAAGTGGATTCATATGAATCTTAGAAATATGTGCTAAAGATTAAAAGACTCACCACTAGCCATTGGCAAGTAAAAATTCAGCCCAGTATTCCATGGATCCTTCAGGCTTGCAGAGTAACGTTTACTCCCGTTAGTAGCATATGACTTCAAACTGTGAGCTCTGACTTTAACACACCTGTTTTCAAGCAGGATCATTGCCAATTTTGGCCTTTTGCTGGATTTTGTGAAATGATCAGAAACAAAGAATACCAACTGTAACTTGGCTTTAAGAAACAAATGAATACACAGTTAAAAAAAAAAAAAAAAAACTTTTCCCTATAGAATGACAAAGTCCCTTCAGATACCATTTTCCCCTGAAAATGAGCCTTAGCTTATTTTCGGCAATGCTCGTAATATAAGCCCTACCCCAAAAATAAGCCCTAGTTGCTAGCTTGCTAATGTATGTTCGAGGAATTTTCCCCAAACATAGATTTGCGGGATGCTATGCGCTAGCTCGCTAATGTATGTTCGAGGAAGTTTCCCCAAACAGATTTGCAGGATTCCATGCCCTAGTAAACTGATCTATGTTTGGGAAAATTCCCAAGAACGTAGACCTGTTTTCTTGTACATGCTTGCTACCGTTTCCCCCCAAAATAAGACATTCCCCGAAAAAGACAAGTCTTATTTTCAGGGTGAAAGACAGTGTTATGAACGTAGTGGCTGTTCTGCTGAGTATGTGTCTAAAAGGTATCACACCGCATCAGAATCCTGACTGATATACAAAGTTAGTTATTTTTAAGGCCACAAGAGGGCCATCTATGTTGAAAACACAACCAGATTTAATTTATAAATATGATCTGTATGTGTGTGTGTGTTCTATGTAGAAGGGCCCCTTGTGGCCTTAAAAATAACTAGCTTTATATTGATAAGTTTTTCTGTTTTTCCTCCTCCATGTGTTCAAGGACAGAAAAGGTCAAGGGACCAAAATTGCAGCACTCCGGTACAGCTTAAAGCTAAACACATTGTCGATTTAAATAATTTTATTTTTCAGACAATAGGTGTGGCGTCCCACTGTTTTTGTGTTTTTAAATAAATAAAATTACATTCTAATGCGTAAATATACATATTGATGGCAAACGATTTTCTTTTGATTTGAGCTATGACTTTTATATAAAAGTTATAAAAAAAAAAAAAAAAAGACTGCAGAACAATAGTTAAACTATTATTCTGTTTTGAGACAAGCTTTGGAAAGAAATAAAGATCCCCCTGTCTGACAAGGAAATTGTTAATCTATTGTGCATCACCCTGCATGAACACAAAAACATATGTGAGGAAGGCTGAACTTGATGGATGCAAGTCTCTTTTCAGCTATGAAACAATCAGAATCTGAGATGAAATCAGAGAACTGTGAGGATGACATGACACAAACGTCAGTAATCACCTCACTTAATCCACCTCTACCACTTCTGCCACAGCACTGAACCCGAGAGCCTGTTCTACAAGCAATACCCTGGAGCCAGGCTCCTTGTGCAGTAAGATGTTCTTTTGTCCAAGCCCAGAAGATATCTCAAGTACTTCTGAATCCATGGGTAGAATAAGAGTTTGCGTTTCATGTGAGGAGCCAAATTCTGCGTTCTCTGTGAAATTAGCAATTAACACTGCTGCTTGCTCTTCTGCACCCGGTTGAGAATCCAATAACGGTACAAAAACCAGAGTAGATTCCACTTCGGTCTCCTCCACCGGTGCTGCAGGTGAACCCTCTCCTGTGGGGGTTTGTCCCACATCTTTGTGACTGCGGAGGTGTCTCTTAAGACTACGTTGCAGGGTGTAACCCATCCCACACAAATGGCAGCGGAAAGGCATCTCCTCCAGGTGAGATTTCAAGTGCCGCCTGAGCTTGGTGGCAATAGGATAGGATTTGCCACAGTACTGGCACAAGAAAGGGCGTTCTCCTGTATGGAGACGTTCGTGGGCACGCAGTGTATGAGGGTCTTTAAGTGCTTTGCCACAAATCTTGCAGATGTGCATTTCTCCTGTGTGCAAGATCAAGTGTCGTTTTAGTTCTGGCTGCTGTGGGAAGGAGTCTCCACAAAACTGGCATTTGTACGGTTTCTCCCCAGTATGCAGTCTTTGGTGAATTCGCAGATTGCCCTTATGTCGAAAAGAACTGCCGCAGTCTGGGCAGGTGTATGGTTTTTCTCCTGTGTGTACACGCATGTGACTACGCAATGAGCGACTGTTGGCCAACTCTTTATCGCACAAGTTGCACTGGATAGGTGGTTGCAGGTTACCTCCAGCTGGTATGCAATAGTTTTTGCGGTGAATGCGAAGGGTGGGTCGGCGAGCAAAACGCTTTCCGCAGTCATCACAGTGGAAAGGGCGAAGGCCAGTGTGTAGAACAGAGTGCTCCTTTAGGTCCCGTTGTGTGCCATAGGCTTTGTCACAGAGAAGACATTTGAAGGGACGTAGACCTCTGTGGGCTAGCACATGAGCCCTGAAGCTCTCCTCTGAGCTGTACGTCTTATCACACTCAATGCATTGGTACGGCTTACGCCCGCTGTGTGTGAAGCTGTGCCTTTTAAGGTGACTCGATTGGAAGAAACGTTTGCCACAGTCTTGGCAGCAAAATCTACGTTCCGGCTGTGTTTTGGACTTTTTCTTTTTACATTCAGTCACTGGAGTTGTCTCAGACTCCACCTCTTGCCTGGAAACCTTAGCTTGGCTGCTAGAGGTCTCTTCTGTTTCTCCTTGTAAAAGTGTTTGCCCCTGTCTGTCAGTTCCTTTCTGCGCTACTGTTCCATTAAGGTCAGACGTTTGGCTTTCCTCTCCAGTATCTGTTCTGTTACAACTCTGTTTGCGTTTTGTGCTGGAAGAGTTCGCTCTGCTGGCACAGTTCTCCTTTACAATATTTTCTTGGTCACAATTGCTGCCTATGATCTCAGTTCTGGGATCGATGTCGGAGTCTTGGAGCTTCAAACTTTGAGAAACTTCCTTTACAATGTCAATATCTGAAGAGTCTGCTGAAAAAAGCAAGCACATTAAATTTAGTCATGAGATATTCATTTTTGAAGGAAATAAATGAATAATATTTTTAGGCACTAAACTGACTCGACACCCTACTTTACTATTTAAAGTGACCCTGTAATTTTTTTCCCCCTTTCAGTTTTCCATTCCTGATCTCCCCTGGATCTCAATATCGCCCCCTCCCCCACATTGTCAGGTGTTGTTAACATGACTACTATACACAAGAAAAAAAGTAGTCCCTTCCTTAACTTATGGCAGAACCTAGATTGACAAAATTCTCATGGCGGACGTGCCTCTTGTGGCTGTCAGACAGCCCCAGATACTTATCTAACCCTGCAATGTAAGCATTGCCTTATCTACTAAGGAGCAATACTTTACATTGCAGAGTTAAAAAATAAAAGACCACCGTATCTATAGTTGCCAATGATCATGCACATCCACAGGGCTATATTCAACCTGCCCTCCTGTGGCTCTACTTTCTCCTCCCTGGTTGCAACTTACTCCATGGCACGGAATTAGGAGCGCATGCTTGTGGCTTAGAATGAACTGGTCACATCCCCGGTGCAAACTGAAAGTCTGTGTTTGGGGTGTGAGTGAAGGCTTACAAAGGCTGCAGATCTTTTTTTAGATAAATGCATAAATATATAAGTATATCTGCTAACTTGTGATATTTATGTATGTTGTTCATTTACAGTGTGGAGTCTTCCTGTAATCCATTATGTGTTTCTAGTATTTTTCAAGTATGTTTTGTTAGTAGGTTCATAATAAAGATAGTGACAGGTGTTTTTAAGTACAAACCTGTAATGGGTGTTTGCACTGGATCACACGGTATTGAATCTGAAGTTGTTTGGAGTTTTCGGACACAATCCAGACTGGAGGACAACTTGGCCCTTTCTGGGTCTACAGTAGTTAGTAGTTTGACCTGTTCTTGCTCTGCTGTCATTGCAGAGACAAAGATCTCAACACCTGGTGTTTCTGCAGACATTGATTCCTTTGAGAGCAGGGTCACAGCAGATACTGCAGGTTCAGGTGTCGTTAATGGGTGCTTGGCATCCTCAATAATAAGACCCTCTTTGGTGTTTGTTTGAGGTTCTTCACTCTCTGTTAAAATTGGTAGAACCATTCTTACAGTTTGTGAAGGATCTTCGGACTCTGCGTTCTCCTCCGTGTCATGTGGAACAGGAAGTTTCTCGGGTCCAGGGAGATCGTCTCCATTTATGGTACAAGCCTTCTGTACTTCCTGCTGAAACAGTAATTCTGAGCCAGGCTTCAGAGAGGTGACCACCTTTAGATAAACCTGCCCTCGGTACTGGCAAGGCCTCACATTCTCCCGTTTTGTACATCTCCGCACAAACCTGAAAAGCAGCATAGCCAGGACCCAGGTAAAGAATACATCTCAGAAAGATGCCAAGCATTAAAAACTAGCCTAACAATTTAAGAAAACATACAAGGGATAGCAGAGAGCCTTAAATAAGGATGCTATCAGACATTGCATTTTAGAGAGGTTTGTGTTCCTGGCACACAGTGGTTATAGATCAGGGTGGAAACAGAATAGAGAATGTGTGTCTACCCAGATCTAAAACTACTAATTGTCAAGCCTTACAAACTCATGCTGCATAGAAAACCCGATTTAAAGGGAAACAGAAGGGTAAAAATAACCTCTTATTTATAATGCAATATAAAGATACAAACAAGTTCTACATTTGTGTCCTAGTTTAAGAGGTTAATACCCCGATCAATGGAATGAAAACATAGCGGCAAAAGCCAAAATTAATTTAGCAAACGCTGTTTCCATTTAGTGTGAACAGCTAAGCTTACTGACCAATTCTCCTGTATCTTATCCCAAATTATACATCTGATGCCATTTTGTTCACAATAACAAAGTAGAGGCCCAGTTAACAATCTCTCCTGGGAAAAAAGTGATTAACTGACTGAAATACAGACCGTTGTAAAACATAAACCAACATTATGCTGGATAATCTGTTTCTTAAGCGGAATAATCTGCTTTTGCAGACTTATTATATATATATTACCTATTGTAACTACAGATTAGCCAGATTATAACCCAGAAATAAAAAGATCACTTCAGAGGTGGATTGTTTTTCATCTATCTCCTTTGTAGTACATAACCAATGATTTGCATTACTTAAAGCATTAAAAAAACTATATACATCAATATCATATATACCTTAACCAGGCAGCATCAGTTTCTAATAGGAATGATGACAAACGTTCCTGTAAAGTAAAATGACATACAAGTTACTGTTGCAGAAAGATTTTTTTTTTAATCCACACGGGATATTACTAGATTTTTTCCTAGAGAATAAGGCGTAACAACTAAAGATTGAATGATTCAATTGAAAGTTTATTAATTTAAGAATATCAATTAGGTTACAAGATAATGCTTTTTGTACTAATCCTATGCCTTTAAAACCAAGGGGTCAATATTAGGTACCCAACGAGATCAATGGAGCTTAGCAGAAACAAACAGAAGTCAGCAGTTCTGCTTTCCTCTATAGATAAAGTTATAAACATTACAGTCACCATGTCATGGTAAACATAAACAGCTGATGCAACATGTTCTAACGAACATTTCAGTTACTGAAAAAAAACAAAAAAAGTCTGTTGGAAGTAGAGCTGGAAGTGTTACATAAAATTGGAGTGCAATACTTAGGTAAGTCTACAATTCTGCCATAACTAAATTTTGCAATTTGGGTTTTCAATTCACTGCAATTCAGTGTTCAGTGAATTAACCCCCTGACTTACACATCTTTTCTTAAAGGAACACTATAGGGTCAGGAACACAAACATGTATTCCTGACCCTCTAGTGCAAAATCCACCATTTAGGTGGCTTGCACCACTGGCACCCTTTAGCTCCCTCAGAGTGGGTTAAAACTCACCTTATTTTCTGCTCTCCACAGGTCTGTTGGCGCTGGCTCCGCCCATTGGTGACATCATCAGAATTGCCGATTTTTAGCCGATACAATGCACTCTCATGGGGAAAGCATTTGATCGGCTAAAATAGTCAAGGGTATGGAGCCAAATGCCGTTTTGGTCAATCAGCACTTCCTCATAGAGATGCATTGAATCAGTGCAGCTCTATGAGGAACATTCAGCGTCCCCATGCAGAGCATGGAGACGCTGAACGGCACTGCTGCCTACTATGCAGCACTGAGCCAGGAGGCACCTCCAGTGGCCATGTCATGGCCAGAGATCTGTTTCCTTGAGTAAGGACATGCACTTCTTTTTTTTCTCCTGCCTACTACTTGCATGCCTAAAGTGTGTCCCTGTAACATGATACTTGGTATTTGTAATTAACAGGAGAAACCGGAACTATATACCGTATTCCAGGAGTGGACAACCTTCGTCCAGCAGATGTTGTGGACTATATCTTCATAATGCTGGCAAAGCATCAAGTTTTTTATCACATTAATGATAAAATAACTGACAGGGGGCAGAAAGCCAAGCTGAAAAAGGAGACTTGAGACTAACGCAAAACCTCACATTTTAGAAATGTATTAGAATAAAGAAACCCCATAATTCATGTGAACATAACATTAGGTGAATTACCTCACAGTCACTGCAGCAGACTTATTTATAGAGAGAGAATAACACTTCCTAAAATATCTCTCTCAGAGAAAAGGTATTTTTTCTGAAACCCAATTTACTCCTGAAATGACACAAGGCCAATACCACTAAAACCCAACGTCCTCCTGCAATGATGCATAGTTACAAACTAATGATGTAACGATGCAAGGTGCATCTCCTTAAAATCTCAACTTCCTCACACAAGTTATCTCTGCCTGTAATTATACAAGGTGCACCTCCATAAAACCCAATTACCTACAACTGAACCCCATATTGTCATGATGCAATGTGCAACTTAATGAACCACAAAAAGACACCTATAAATGTTTTTCCCATTTATTAACAGAAGGGGAAATAGTCTCTGCTTTATATTTATTTACTGCAATTCTTTTATTTCGCCTGATTTTTAAAGATTTCCAAAAATTATGATCTTGTCACACGTCTTCACAGCTGTTTTTACTCCCTTTTGTTTTGCTCGTCTATTTCAATAACTACAAAAGGGGAAGGGTAATTCGCTCTGTTTTGTTTACTTTAATGGTCCCTTTCACATCCATTTTAACATATATGGCATGTCTGCCTGAACCCCACTTACTCGGGGAACTAAATCTCATCTTGTAACAGGCTGCAGGGAAAACTGAGCCCCTATGTCACAGGGAGTCCTGCTTACTTCCCTTCCTTTCCTCCAGTTTCTTCTAACGCTGGTTTTAGTATGCTTGTGAGTGTTGTCAGACAGATTTAAAAAGGAAAGGAATACTAAAAAATGGATACTAAAAGCTATATTGAATTCTGCAATATCCAAAGCACCAGCACTGTGCAGTAGTGGTTAAGGTGCCAGGAATGCTCTGGTGCCCACCATGGGTAGACCGCTCCTCCGGAAAGAGTGGGTGAAATGTTGGGGTGGGGGGAGGGGGGGTGCAAAAGTATATCACAGCCTGGGTTTTTCACCCCCTGGGAGTGATGCCTTCTTTTACATATGACTTACTATATCTAAGTGAAATCTGGAAATGCCTGCAGATCATACAGAAGAGTGTGATAAAAGTTTCTTGAATTTGTAAGCCTTTTAAAAAGCAGGAGCCAAACATAACACTTTTAGGAACATTTTGTTCAGGCAGGATGATGTTCATATTATAAGTTCTCTTGTAGGCAAGCAAATCTATATCTAACCTCACTTTCGGACAGGCTATTGTCACTTTTATGACTTGGAGTTGGAAGGAGAGATCCGGCGTCTAGTGTCTGTCCGACCCACCATAGTCCCAGGCCCTCCTTTAGTGAAAGAGAGGGCCCCAAAGCCAAGCCACGGGGGAGACTGCTCAGAAACTGCAAGATGGCATCTTGGGTGCATCCTGCTGGTACAGGACAGACTGATGTATTCATATGGCCTGCAAAGAAAGACATGCAGTGAACCAATCAGCAAACAGTGTCAAGTGGTACACCATGGTGATTATTTACTGAACTATGAGTTGTATTACATTAACAGCTGAATTACAATATACAGGTCACACTTGACTTAAAAGCCCAACAAAGCTGGATAATTACTTATAATAAATAAACCTGTATGACAAACCTGTTACCAAAAAAAATGATATACAGTGACAGGGAGAAAGGAGAGAGAAAAGGGCAGGCTGCAGGCCGAAACCATAGAAAGGGTATATCCGGTGACGTATTGTCAACTGCATTCTGCGATGCCTTTCACAGCATAAAGCAAAGATTGGACTCACTACTTGATGCTGATTAGTCCTCACGCAGCTTCCTAAAATGCAATCTGGTTGTGGATTTTGCTGAAAGTGACAGATGAGCTGGGTCCACATGTATCAGCTGTGCTTAATTCTACAGAAAGATCCAGCTCTCCTGCAGAAGACTGAATGCGGTGCAGGATTCCAGAGGGACCCAGGTAAGTGGTCAAACTGTACTTAAAACAGTTTTAGTAAAATTGGACAGTGCTGGGCTACTCCTGGCTCCACATCCCTCTCCAGAGTGTTTCTTTAATAACCTGCATACTCCTTACTCAAAGAAATATAAAATAAAAGTTTGAGGATTGCAGTTGTTGGGGGGTGGGGGGTAGGGAGATGAGTGACACCAGAAAAACAATATTTGGTACTTTCTGTGCGATCCAGAATGAATAAACAACACAAACAGTTATAGTATTTCTTCTTCGCCGGCATGTGAATTTTGTAATTTCAAAGTGGTTTTAAATCAAAGCAGTGGAATCTGAAACCTTTTCCAAGCCAGATATCTATTCAATTATTTTGTCCTAAAACCTGAAATTCATATGAATCCCCTTTAAGTTATAGACAACTCACATTACCATCAACCTTAAAGCATAACTGACTGACTTGGATTATATTCCATTCTGAATTCCTGACAATTCGCAGTTTACTGAAAAAAAATCTGTGTGTTTTTAGTTTATTATAGACACTAGCAGGCTCATGGTATATGTGAAGTTTGCTGAATAAATCTGTGAGTGTTTTAGTTTATTATAGTTTAGTAAATCTAGTTTATTTAGCTCAGGGTACATTATTATATTAATTAATATAGTTTAGTTTATTATAGTTTATTTAGCTCACGGTATATTATTATGTTATTAATTATTATAGTTTATTTATCTCAGGGTACATTATTATGTTATATATTATTATAGTTTAGTTTATCTCAGGGTATATTATTGTTATTATTATAGTTTAGTTTATTAATTATTATAGTTTATTTATCTCAGGGTACATTATTATGTTATCATTATAGTTTAGTTTGTTATAGTTTTTCTCAGGGTATATTATGTTATTAATTATAGCTTAGTTTATTATTAATTATTATAGTTTAGTTTATGTTATTAATTATTATAGTATATTTATCTCAGGATATATTATATTATTATAGTTTATTTATCTCAGGGTATATTATTAATTATTATAGTTTAGTTTATTATTATTTATTATTATTATAGTTTAGTTTATTATTTATTATTATTATATTATTTATTATTATTATTATAGTTTAGTAGATTATTAGGTTATTATTATGTATTATATTATTATTATTATATTATTTAGTTATTTATTATTATTATAGTTTATTATTTATTATGATATTATGTTATTATTATTATTTATGTTGTTATTATTATTGGTATATATATATATATGTATGTGTGTGTGTGTGTGTGTGAAGTCCTGCTGCTGTTACTCCCAGTGTTTTTAGCCCAGTGATATCATCTGGCAGGAGCCCCCTATCTGAGCAGTCTGAGCAGTGTGTTGGGCTATCAGGTATTATTTCCGGTAGCCCGGAGCAGGGAGCCCAGTCTGCCCCATAGATCCTCATTTACCTCCCAGTGGGTCTCCAGGTGTCGCCCTCTCCAGGAACCGGAAGTAGTGGGGACGGTTGTGCAGCGGAATCAGGTCCCACCCGGAAACAAGGTGAATGTGCGATCGTTCCGGACCGAGCGAGTCCCACCCTGGCACCGGAAGTGACCGCAGCGCCACCTTCCGCCTACAGGGACGATGACAGGGGGGCGGGCGGGTTGTCATGGCGACCCTGCTTCCCTTTCCGCCCAGGCCCCGGATATCTGTGTGGCGAGGAGCTGAGCGGACGGCGGTGGAGCTCTGGGTAGACAGGCTTCACACAGAGAGACAGACAGAGAGAGCAACCGGGAGCCGGGTACCCCCCCGCGAGGTGAGAGAGAGCGCGTGACGTCACAGCGCAGAGTCAGACCTGTGACGTCATGGCAGTGTGCAGCAGTTTGACATGTCCCCCTCCCTCCACCAATATTGGGGAGATTATTCTCCAAACCACCAATTGCTGCACATTGTAGGCCAAAGCAGCTGATCTGGAAAAATCCAACTCTTAATCTGACTATTTTAGCCTGAATGCTGCCTTCTGTGTTTTATTTCACTTATTATTATTTATTATTATTATTATTATTATTAATTATTTATATAGCTCCAATTTATTCCGCAGCGCTTTACAATATTCTCATGGTGAATCGCTCAGCATCTTATGTATTTATTTGTTACTGGCATTCATGAAGCATCAACATATTCCGCAGCGCTGTACAATAAAACCAGAATGATACTAAAGGTAAGGAGGGCTCAGCCAGTGACGGGAGATGTAGCCCAGGGGAAGGCAAGCTCAGGCACGCTCATTGATGCTTTGCCAGCATTCTGGCTGTAAGAGCATCATGGGAGATGTAGTCCACAACATCTGGAGTGCCAAAGGTTGCCAACCCCTGATCTATCTACCCTCTTAAGATAGTTTATACAGAGTACCATTGCAATTTCATCGATTAGGTGAATCATGCTGATCAGTTAAAAAGGAATTGCCAATTGTGAGAATTATACACGCAATATTATTTTTTCTAGCATTTAGATAGCGCCAACTTATTCCGCAGTGCTTTACAATATTATAAAAGGGGGGAAATTTTACAGTAAATGAGACAATTACAAAATGTCGCAGGAACAATAGGTAGATGACGACCCCGCTCAAAAGAGCTTACAGTCTAGAGGAGGTGGGGATAGCTAATGAAAGGTTAGCCATAAGATGTTCTATTTACTAACTTGTTTTAATTCACTTTCCCTGTTTTGCGTGCAGTGTAAATTAATTTTACCCTCGCGATGTAATGGTGAATAACTCTGACCGTTATGAATTGAAATCTAAATGGCAACATTTGGGTTAAACTAACTGATGTGGAAAAATCTACAACCTAGCTAAAGGTTTCATTTCAGTTTTTATTTAGCTACAATTCACTGTGTATTGAATAAACTGGTGTGAGGCTAGTTGATGCTCTATATATAATGAAAATGTTGATACAAATTCTTTAGTCTAACATCGTATCTCAAAAGTTTAAAAACCTGCAAATCTTTAAAAAAAAAAAATTAAAAAAAAGTTTTTTTCCGATTATAGCTGTCATGTCCAAATATAACTAAGGGTCGTACTATGTTTTTGTTTTGAATTATGTCACATGCAAGGCTGTCCAAGCATGTTCTGTCATATAAGGTAAATCCTCAATCTTATGATGCAGAAAATGTGTGCATTAGAGGTGCACATGTACAGCATTACTGGAGGAATTCAATGTGTGCACTCCAGTGCACTCTTCACTTCACTAAATGCTTCAGAAGCGATTTTACTAGAAACTGGATTTCCCCCCCCGGTTCCCCTATATACATATGTTCTGTAAAAACAAACACGCTTCTGTCTTCCTGTATGTAATCCATTGACTTTGGTTTAAGTGTTGCTGACGTAGTATGTGCAACGGTTTTAGACAATGATATTTGTTCTTTGAATAGTTAGTTGTGATTTGTGGATGACTTGCAAAATGTAGAGAAATAGCTGAGTTGCTGAGTTTTTGGGTGTTTTTAGCCAAATGTTTACAAGGCTAACAATCAACCTAACCAGGCACCCACACACACACTAGGATACAGCTATATATGCCGGGGCTTATTTAATAATAATATTTAGCTTGGATGGTTGGTTTTTATAAAAAAAAAATTATTTATGTAGTAAGTTTTGCTAAATTAGGTTGTCTGTGTCTATCTGGCCGTTACCAGCTATTTGACAATGACCAAATCTTGCTGACCCGAACAATATTTTCAGTGGATAATGAGGAAGTAAAACTTCCTGATTTATAACTTCCATAGCAGAGGGGGTGGACAACCCATGGTTTTAGTCAAACGTCTTGAAAAGAGTTTGGCAAAAAGAAGAGGAAATGCACCTATAGTCTCCCTGCATCTGTCAAGGTCAATCTTCCCAACACGCAAACTAAGGGGCTCAGTAGATACACAAAGCCAGACGTATTACCGTTCCTTGGAATGGCCGGATTTAACGTGTGAAAGTACAGATATGAGAACAGAATGATCGGACGAGCCAAGGTCAGGATTGGAGACGGAAGAAAAAACGAAAAACAAAGCCAAGGGTTAAGAGTATCAGAAGGACGGATAACCAGGAAACAAGCCGAAGTCAGATACCAGAAAAGACAAACCAACGAAATGCACTCTCTACCAGAAAATACAAACCAACAAAACGCACTCTTGGGCTACAATAGACCACGACAGGGCAAGAAAGTGATGAAAGAGGGAGGTATAAATAGGGCTAAGTGAGAGCTGATAGGCTAGGGAACCTAATAGGGCAGTAATTAGAGTGCTAGTTCAATTTTAAAAAAATCTTACTACCCCTTTAAGAAGTCGGAGACAAGTAAGACGCACGCCCCCTAGCTTGTAATAGTGTGCGTGCTTGCGGACGTCTGCACACCATCACAGTGGAGGAATAATACGGATGGCGGGGCCGGAGCTGCGCGGGCTGAGAGGAGGTATGACCGCATCATAGAAATTACAAATCTGTAGTTGTTATGGTGCTTCCACTGTCCCTTTAACAACCTATAAGGTTTTTTTTTTTTTTTTCAAATCAAAAATTGTGTAAATTATTGGGGAATTATTAATTTTAGGCCAAAAGTGGAAACATTTCTGAGCTGTGTGTGTGTGTGTGTGTGTGTATATATATGTGTGTATATATATATATATATATATGTGGATTACATGCTAGGTGGCTAAAGAGGCAAGGGTATGGTAGAAAAGTAGGCTGGTAGAATAGTTTTCACTGAGGTCTTGATGTTTGTTTTTTATATGACCGTTGCAGGAAAGGAAGCAAGGTGCAGCGAGGGACAGCCATTAACAGATTATTTTATACACTTTCCTAAAGAAGTGTGTTTTGAATTATTTTTGTTGTTGTTGTTGAAGTCATGAAGACTGGGTGAGAGTCCAACAGAGCAGGTAAGGGATGACCTCAAAAGTTGGTCACAAAGTTGGAAGTATAGCAATGTCCAAAATGTCTTGGAATGCTGAATCTTTAAGATTTCCCTTCACTGAAAGTAAGGGGCCTAGCCCAAACGCTGAAAAACAGCGCGATACCATTATACACCTCCACTAAACAGTTGGAAGAAGGCAGTCAGGCAGAGAACGTTCTTCTGGCATGTGCCAAACCCAGATTTGCATATTAGGTTGCCAAACAGAGGAGCGTGATATGTCACTTCACAGAACACGTTTTCACTGCTCCAGAGTCCAGTAGCAGCATCCTTTACGCCACTTAATCTGACGCCTGGCATTGTACTTGCATGCAGCTGCTCGGCCATGGAAACCCATTCAATCAAGCTCCCAACGCATAGTTTTTGTGCTGATGTGGATGCCAGTGGAAGTTTAGAACTCTTCTTCAGCCATGCAATCAGCAGAGCGTTGGCGACTCAGTACTCTGTGACTTTACGAGGTCTTCCGCTTCGTGGATGAGTTAGCTAAATGCTTCCTATTTCCAATAATACCACTCACAGTTGAATATCTAGCAGGGACAAAATGACTTATTGCGAAGGTGGCATCTATCACAGTCCCACGCATGAATTTATTGAGCTCTTCAGAACGACCCATTTGTTTCACAAATGTTTGTAAATGCAGACTGCATGGCTATGAGGTGCTATATTTTATACACCTGATTTAAAACACCCGAGTTCAGTCATTAAGAGGTATGTCCCAATACTTTTGTCCATATTGTGTGTGTGTGTGTGTGTGTGTTTTTTTTTAAATATATATATATATATATATAATGTGTGTGTGCCTGTTTCTATGTACAGTTTATACGCAGTGCTTGTTTGCTCTCAGAATAATTTGCTAATATTATGCACAATAGCAAGAACAAACATAGATATAAGGATGCGCCTAAAACTTGATAAAATAAAAGACTAAATTAGTCAGATAAAATACAGAATAAAATAAGTAATAAAACAATAGTCCAATAAAATAGGCTTATCACAGTCCGTGAGGGTAGGTCCCACTTGTAAAGGAATATTCTTTAGGGTGTAGGTGGGATCATATCTTCAAATGTTGAGAATTCAGCATATGTGGAGAGAAAAATAAAAACAGGACTCCAATGGCACAGTAAATCGGTGTATAAAATAAATATAAAGGTATAAAATCAGTCTTACTCACACTTTTCAGAGCTAGGATCAGCTCTGATATTGCTCGCGTAAAGTGGAATAATCCCCACTTCAAGGATATATGGAGTAAATGTTGATTGTTGAATATCTGACGTGGGTTCAGCGTTCAATTTGACGTGATACGACCCAGAGGAAAAAATAAAATAAAATATATAGTGCTCACTGTATGTAATAAAATTAAAAGAAAGTAAAGTATACTACTCACGTAAAGTAGAGCAGACTCAAAACTGCTCAGTGAAGGCGCTCAGGTGGTATAATCCCCACCTATGGATTCTTTGCACTTCCTGCAGGGTGAGCCGTATACGTAAAAGCAATAAAAGAAAATGTATGTAAAATCAGGTAAAGGAAAAAGCAAATGGCAATAAAGTATTTTATGCCAATAAAATATCTTTATTATAGAGTTAAGAACAAAATCTATTAATATCTAAATGCGTTTCGCCTTAACAGGCTTCTTCAAGTAGATTTGTTTCGTCAAATCACTGAGCTTCATATTTTTGTTTGTTTTTTCTGTAGCTTGTATTCTAAAGCTGTTTAATAGTTCGCAACATTTTCCTA